CTTAAATTGTAAATTTCAGGACCCCCGAGCTATCCGTTCTCCCTTGGGGAGGGGGTAAAGTTTACTATAGTTTATATAGGGAAATAACACTTTTGGGTATATTTTGACAACTTTCTGTAGGAAATTATTTTTACTTGGTGAGAATTATCCTTTGAGGTAGATGGTTTCAAATTGTAAAATTGATAAGGGAGGCACCTCTACCATAGTAATGATAAGGGACGCACTTCTACCGTAGTAATGATAAGGGAGGCACTTCTACCTTAGTAATGATAAGGGAGGCACTTCTGTAGTAATGATTAGGGAGGCTCTTCTACTGTAGTAATGATAAGGGAGGCACTTCTACCCTAGTAATGATAAGGGAGGGACTTTTACCGTAGTAATGATAAGGGAGGCACTTCTACCGTAGTAATGATAAGGGAGGCACTTCTACCATAGTAATGATAAAGGAGGCACTTTTATCGTAGTAATGATAAGGGAGGCACTTCTACCGTAGTAATGATAAGGGAGGCACTTTTACCGTAGTAATGATACGGGAGGCACTTCTACCGTATTAATGATAAGGGAGGCACTTCTACCCTAGTAATGATAAGGGAGGCAGTTCTACCATAGTAATGATAAGGGTGGAACTTCTACCGTAGTAATGATGAGGGAGGCACTTCTTCTGTTGTAATGATAAGGGAGCCACTTCTACCGTAGTAATGATACGGGATGCACTTCTACCGTAGAAATGATAAGGGAGGCGCTTTTACCGTAGTAATGATGAGGGAGGCACTTCTACTGTAGTAATGATAAGGGTGGCACTTCTACCGTAGAAATGATAAGGGAGGCGCTTTTACCGTAGTAATGATAAGGAAGGCATTTTTACCGTATTAATGATAAGGGAGGGACTTTTACCGTAGTAATGATGAGGGAGGCACTTCTACGGTAGTAATGATAAGGGACGCACTTCTACCGTAGTAATGATGAGGGAGGCACTTCTTCTGTTGTAATGATAAGGGAGTCACTTCTACCGTAGTAATGATAAGGAAGGCACTCCTACCGTAGTAATGATAAGGGAGGCACTTCTACCGTAGTAATGATAAGGGAGGCACTCCTACCGTAGTAATGATAAGGGAGGCACTTCTACCCTAGTAATGATAATGGAGGCACTTCTACCGTAGTAATGATAAGGGAGGCACTTCTACCATAGTAATGATGAGGGAGGCACTTCTTGGGTTGATTTCATTAAACAATTAGACTTCTAAAAGGTTTCTGAAACCTGTCTATTATAAATTATATTAAATGGAAGAGCTAAAGCTTTTTGTTCTACTTAATGCTTATCTATCTCCAATAAGCCCAGGGGGCAAGCAGATAATCTCTGACTCAATGTAGGGGGTGGGCTTATTACAGGACAATCAAATAGCATTAGTTAGTAAAACATTTTGATGGGCTTATTGCCAAATAATTACGGTAAGCCCCATATTAACCCCTATGAAATTTCCTGAATCACTTTTTACCTCATCTTTTTTTATACATCTGCCAAATGTGCGGCATGTTACGTCTACATGTATTTCACATATCGGTCTGTTAACTGGGACATTCATAATTACCTTATAACCACCACTTGTCCATCAAGTCTTTACTGAGAATGATATGAAGATTTGTACAGTATAACCTGTCTAAACCAGCCCCTATCTTATCTGGATCCCTGCCTTAACCGGCTGTGATTTGCGGTTCTGGCATATTCCCTATATAACCATAGTAGTTAAACCCTGTATAAACTGGATCCTGTCCATTCCGAAAACCGGCGTTGTTTTACAAAAGTTGGCATAGTAATCCATGTAAAAACAACCAGTTCATTCCGGTCCTGAAATTTCACATTCTAAACAAATTAGTGCTATCCAATGCTGGGTTGCCCTTCATTTGTATAAATACTGTATATTTTGTAAATACTTAAACGTTGCGATTGATTCATTTCTCTATTGTTGACACACTTGTATACAGATCGTATGCAAAACACTACATTTTTGTATTTTCAAAAAATGACATGCCGACCCTGTATAAACCGGACACCTGTGTAAACCGGACAAATAGTTTGGTCCCGTTGACATCCTGTTTAGACAGGCTGTACTGTATATCAAAAGATGGGAATGCTGTGTTAAATTTTTGCAATAATTATGGGAGCTTTCTAATTAATTTCGATTGATGTGTAGAATGTTTCTAGAATTATCAAAAACATTGTTAACAAAAGTAGACAGCTGTTGTTGTATATGCAGTCTTTATCTATATATCTCAACTTTTTGTTTCTAGCGAAAACATCAGAGGGGGAACAAATAGAAGAAGTTAAAAAACCTACAGAGGTAAGGTAGCATTAAATTTATTATCCATAAAAGTCATATTTTCAATAAGTGGAGATTGATTGTTAAGACATGTATGTCCGTCGTCCGTCGTCAACTTTTTGGCAGGGCCCTGAAGGGGATCTTAGCTAATTTGCTTTAAAATTCATCTCCTACTTAACGCCAGTGAGGATTTCAACCAAATTTAGTCTGTAGCATCACTAGGGGCGAGCAATCATTTCTTAAATAATTGAGGTTTGTTCGACCCCTGAGGCTAGGGGGGTGGGGCCCTGAAGGGGAACTTAGCTAAATTTGCTTTAAAACGCATCTCCTCGTAAACGCCAGAGAGGATTTCAACCAAATTTAGTCTGAAGCATCACTAGGGGAAGGCAATCATTTCTTAAATAAATGAGGTTGGTTCGACCCCTGACGCCAGGGGGGAGGGGCCCTGAAGGGGAACTTAGCTAAATTTGCTTTAAAACGCATCTCTTCCTTAACGCCAGAGAGGATTTCAACCAAATTTAGTCTGAAGCATCACTAGGGGAAGGCAATCATTTCTTAAATAAATGAGGTTGGTTCGACCCCAGAGGCCAGGGGGGCAGGGCCCTGAAGGGTAACTTAGCTAAATTTGCTTTAAAACGCATCTCCTCCTAAACGCCTGAGAAGATTTCAACCAAATTTGCTCTGAAACTTAATTGGGGGAGGGCAATCATTTCCTAAATAAATGAGACTGGTTCGACACCTGGGGCTAGGAAGACAAGGCCCCAAACAGGAAAATTATCTAATATTTTGCTTTAAGACGCTAATACCCCCTAATTGCCTGAGCGGATTGTACAAAATTTTGTCGAAAACATTATTGAGGAAGAACAAACATTTCTTTATTAAATGAGGTTGATTTGACCCCTGCGGTCCTAAGAAATGGTTCAGCTAGATTATCATATTCTTTGGTATAGTTTTCATAAATTGTTAAAAATTGGTTTCTAGGTTTATAAAAGCTTTATATAGTTGAATGAAAATTAAAGTATTGTCTAATTACACCCTGTAATATGACATATTATATATTTCAAAATCTGTTAACATGGCAACTCAATGGAGGCCCCTGATTAGTTGATAGTCAGATAGTGTGGTGACAGTTGGGTTAGAACATAGATCTTGTCTAGTTTTGAGGAAATTTCATATAAAGATGTACTAATGCATTCAGTTGTAATGACTTAAATATAAAACCAGGTGAGCGATACAGGTCCAATGGACCTCTTGTTTATGAAATATAATGCTATGCTGGGTTTGTTTATTCACAGATTAAGATCAAGAAAATAGACAATATTGATCTACCATATTTTGAAGTGAATATGACAGATGGGACCACATGTGACTTGACACAACAGCCGAGGAAGTGTCGATTTCTGTATGTGTGTCAGCCTGAAGGTCGAGGAGAGATCTACGAGTTTAAGGAAACCTCCACCTGTGAATATGAGATTGTGGTCCTCACTGCAGTGCTATGTTCTAATCCATTGTTTAAGTGAGTGTCTTTAGACATTCATTTTAGTCTTTGTCAGAAATGAGGTAACTTCAATTCTGTACATTTTGTCAAAAACATGACAAATGTTTGAGTAATCACTGTGGCCAAGTTTTGTAAAACAAAATTAGGATTATGTGACTGATTTTCTGTTCATATCAGAAGATTTCTTTATTCGCCTCATCAAAAGTGATGTTCATTATGTTATTTTTATGATTATTCTATAGTCATGGAGGCACAGTAGTCTAGCGTTAGGACGCCGGGCTCGTGACCCAAGGGTTGGAGTCACGTCACAGCACTGTGTTGTATCTTTGAGCAAGATACTTTACTCCGTTTGTTCCAGTATACTCAGCTGTTAATAAGTATGTGGTTGGGCAGTGCTAGAATTGTTGAATGCTAGCTGTGAGTGCCGAAATGGCAGCACCGGCTGTATGCTCCCCATGTAGTTGGACCTACGAACTAGGTTGTGATAAAGCGGTATATAAGAACCTCAAATTATTATTATATTATTCAATTATAGCCTTTGGCTGAGGTCGATATCTGGATTTATCGACCCGAGAAAGATATATTCAGAGGATGCAGTCCGAGGTCAATATATCTTTTTTCGGGTCGATAAATCCAAGTATTGACCGAAGTCAAAGGCTACAATTGTTTTATTATTTTCAAAACAGTAATGTTAGCAATCTGAAAAAAACACAGCAAAATGCTAAGGAAGCGGGACGATATGTTCGTTTGGAGACACGTCATTATTCTATTTTTAGGTCACCTGAGCTTTAGCTATTGCTATCCGTTTTCGTCCGTCGTCGTCCGTCGTCCGTTAACATTTTACATTTCAAACTTAAAGTCAAGTTCTGCTGGGCCGATTGAACTGAAAGTTGGTAGGAATGAACTTCACAACACCTCATGGTCCTGACAAAGTGTTGTTATTTTTCGGGTCGATCAGAAATCCAATATGGCCGCCACGGCCGCCATTTTGAAAACCTATTTCAAACTTAAAGTCAAGTTCTGCTGGACCGATTGAACTGAAAGTTGGTAGGAATGATCGCCTCATGGTCCTGACAAAGTGTTGTTATTTTTCGGGTCGATCAGAAATCCAATATGGCCGCCACGGCCGCCATTTTGAAAACCTATTTCAAACTTAAAGTCAAGTTCTGCTGGACCGATTGAACTGAAAGTTGGTAGGAATGATCGCCTCATGGTCCTGACAAAGTGTTGTTATTTTTCGGGTCGATCAGAAATCCAATATGGCCGCCACAGCCACCATTTTGAAAACCTATTTCAAACTTAAAGTCAAGTTCTGCTGGACCGATTGAACTGAAAGTTGGTAGGAATGATCGCCTCATGGTCCTGACAAAGTGTTGTTATTTTTTGGGTCGATCAGAAATCCAATATGGCCACCACGGCCGCCATTTTGAAAACCTATTTCAAACTTAAAGTCAAGTTCTGCTGGACCGATTGAACTTAAAGTTTGTAGGAATGATCGACTCATGGTCCTGACAAAGTGTTGTTATTTTTCAGGTCAATCATAAATCCAATATGGCCGCCACGGCCACCATTTTGAAAACATATTTCAAACTTAAAGTCAAGTTCTGCTAGGCCGATTGAACTGAAACTTTGTAGGAATGATTGACTCATGGTCCTGACAAAGTGTTGTTATTTTTCAGGTCGATCAGAAATCCAATATGGCCACCACAGCTGCCATTTTGGTAAACTATTTCAAACTTAAAGTAAAGATCTACTTGGCCGATTGAACTGAAACTTTGTAGGAATGATCGAATCATGGTCCTGACAAAGTGTTGTTATTTTTCGGGTCAATCAGAAATACAATTTGGCTGCCATGGCCGCTATTTTGCTACTAAGTTCTAATAGGCCGATCTCACTTAAAATTGGTCTAGGAATGATCAGCTCATGGTCCTGACAAAGTTAAGTTAACATTATACTATTTTTTACTCAAATTGGTACATATTTCAACAACAAAAATAAATACTGTAGACTCAGGTGACCGTTTAGGCCCATGGGCCTCTTGTAAGAAACACCCAGTCGTTCAACAAAAATCACGCGTCCAAGTCAATATCGGTTTTTATCGGTGGACACATGATTCACTTCTGGCCAATCACTTGTCGGGAATAATATGAAAAAATAATAATGTTAAATAAATATCTCCTTTTAGACTTTTTTGGGCTCCATCAAAAATGTTTTGTAAGGAGATACATTGTCAGTTATTTTTAATTTGCACTTAGTATTCTGCTGCAATGCAAATGCACCATACAAATGTTTTGAAATGTGTTTTAGTACAATGCATGTAATGTAGAACAAAATTTGGTATAAATGTTTGTCTAGGTTTATACTCACAGTGTACATTAACTTGAATGCCTTATATCATTTGTGACATTGAGAACTGTTGAACAGTGGAGTGTAATCTTCCTTGAGAACCTTTATCAACTGACACATATATTTTCTTCACTACGAATGAACACTTTTTTGATCACAGCTAAAATGTATCAAATATGATGTCTTTTGATCAGACCAAAAAATGCACCGGTGTCTAAGATAGCATGCCATGCTGTTGACGGCTCCCCCGATAAGCCGACAGTATTGAAACAGTGGGACAGAGAGGAGAATAATTACAAAGCTCAACCAGTAAGTATACAAATAAGACTCAAAGTAGTTTTGTTAATGAACATGTATTAAAAAAAAATATCTCTAAAATACACTAAAATGTACTTTGTTCTTATTTGAAATTCAGATGTTTCCATACTTGTCAAAGTTATGTGATTTTGCTGTGTAATATTTCTGAAAAAGTGACACTGAGGACCTAACTGTCTATCAAAAACACAAACTTAACACTGTGCCAAGCATTTTTCTATCATCAAAGCAAGAGATCCAAGCTTTAAATCTGGAAAATCCACTATAATGCAGATTGTTTGGATGTAGAACTGTGGAGGTAGAGACTTTTAATGTTAATCCCTGTGGCAGATTGTTAATCCCCCCAAGGGAGGGGAGTGAAGGTCTGTAATCCATTCAGTCATTCAGTTTATGCACCACTATGTAGGGAATTTCTCCCATACTTGCCTGTGAAAGACAGGAACTCACCTGTGAAAAGATAAACCTGTCTTTCTGAAACTATTGGTTTTCACTTATTATACCATAAAAACTCGTGTAATTTGCGCACTTTTTTTTGAGAAATTTAATGCCCAAAGTGGGGGGGTGCGCAAAATACATAGGTGTAAGCAATTTTAAGGTTTTTTTCATGAAAAGATCGACGATTCTTGCAGACCGCCATCTTGGACAAGAGAAAATCTCCCTTGGTACACGGAACTCAAAGACAAACGACGATCAACACATTTATTTATGTCAAACATCAATAAAAGATACATTTGATACATACTGTGTTGTTATCTGAGTTTATGTGAAAAGTATTATTAAATAGGTAACTGTTAACAAAGAAAATTGAACCAAATTCCTATGCCAGAGAATCGCCGATCAACTTACGTTTCAACATCTCGGCGCGTTTTCCAATTTCAATTTTAAGCTCTGTTCCATGCAAGTTCTGTTAGTTTTTATTTTCAAATCGCCTATGCGTACAGCATGTTTTTTTCCCTGGCTCACTTTCATGATCATCTCGCGTCTAACACTACGTAAACATGTGATTGATAAAAACCTCTTGAATTATTTCAATATTTATTAAATGAAGCATCGGGAAAATAGTCTGCTTTGATTTTTTTCTGAAAATGTATTCAGAAATTCAACATTGTTTCCCGTGTTTTGTTCTAATTGTTGAACAGACATTCCTTACCTTCCCTGACACTGGAGCTGGATAGTAATCCAAAAACACTATCCATTATGAAGAATACACTCAGACTTGGCTATTGAGAATAAAGACAAACTTACCTGGTTCTGATTAGTACTCGCTCACACAGGTACATGTAAATTATCTGCAGTGTAGGGTAGGTAAAAAGATTGTCCAGGTGAACCTTTTTTACTCAATTTTTCTGTTTTGTTCCGAGTTGGGAAGCATGCAGTAAGCCAGTTATTGCATGATTTCTCGTCACTCGGGACTTATTACACCCTCGCTTCGCTCGGGTGTTATAAATCCCTTGCTACTCGAAAACCATGCTATAACCTTTACTTATTCCACTATATACAGAGTTATGACCCTTTTTGTTCATTTTTGAAACTGAATTCTGTGTATAGGTGATCATGAGGATTAAAAATTGATTGCAATACTTTGCTTATACATGTATGTTATTAAAACTAAATTTCATTGCATCTTTTGTGACACAGAGTAAAGACAAATTTGTGATAAAGCCTGGAGATATTCAGGTTGAGGATGTGCAACCAGCCTCCCATGAGACCCCACAGCAGGCCCCAAAGGTCTCGGTCCCAGACACGACACTCGGAGATACAACTGACAAACAGGTCCTCAGGGACTTTCTCTCTGGCAGTCATTGCTTACAAGGGGTAAGTATTTCACATACTATTTACAAAGGTTAAGGGTTTTATAAACTGTTTACAAGGGATAAGGGTCCACATACTATTTACACGCCCTTATGACACATGGTTTATCTCAGGCAAACAAAGAATCATGTGTCTCTACTGCAAGCGACAATACATCTTTTATTATATCAAAATAGAACTACAACACCACATGAAGATGACGAGGTTTCCGCTTCAGTCACTTAGGTGTTGTGGCTCTAGCATATTTTCTATAAAGGCTCTGAAAATGGGAAATATGTCTGGGGAAACTTAGGTATTTGAGGGTGACACAATGTTTTATTTCCCCCTCATGTGATCAATAATCCAATCAGACACTGTTATATAGGTATATAAATGATTTAATGTTTAGCTAAGCATTCCATAGGTATGTTTAATAGTATTAAGCCAAACATTCCATTTTTAGCAAAAGTACAAAGGGCATAACAAATCCAGAGCTATCAGAAGTTATAGAAAGAATGAGTTTGCATTGTTATATATGTATTCAGGTCTACATCATTGCTTCCACAACACCATATTTACCCAATGTATATTTCTGTACTTTCCAGGGCTCTGGTTGGTGGAAACATGAATTATGTTATGGAAAATATGTTAAACAATTCCATGAGGTAAGTGTTTTCCCGACCAATTTTTATTCAAGCAGTTATTTTCTGTTTCATCCTTGTCACCTCCGGACTAATGCAATATTTTCTTACTTCACATTCAGGCAAGAGCAGCAGTTTCATCTTCTCTTCGAGTCACATTGAGACTAGAGCAGGAATATTTTGAGGAAATAATACACATTGTAAATTTCTTTTTTCATGTAGACCTCTTTTTTTAAAACAACCAGATGTTTGTACTGCACATTGATTTTATAGTTAAAAATTATCTCCATTAATGTTTAAGTCTGAGTCATTCAAGTTTGGCAAGTTTGAAGACTTTTATTGTAATTAATTCACCAATTTCTTGTAGGATTCAAATGGAAGAACTGAGGTTTTCCTTGGCTATTGGAATGAGCAAAAACATTTAGAATGGTTAACAAATCACCCTACCAAGAGACCATCAGAAATAGGAAAAAGAAAGTAAGTCTTGTTCCTGTAGAGAAGGAGATGATAGATGATAGATTTTGTGCTGGCTCATCTGTGTGATCAGAATTGTGTTTCAGAGTGCTGACATTTCCCTACAATGCTAAAACTGCTGAAATTAGCATTTTCCATACAAATTTGATAAATTATTAATGACAAATACACAGTTTTACTACAAGGAAAGTTGGTTTGAATGTTCCCATAGTGGTTTTTTTGTTAGCTGATGTTCAGCACATAATCAATAATACTGTTTTACTTGCAGGTTTTTAAATTATCTCTATGTAGATGGAGAAGTATGCGACGTGACAGGTAGAAAAAGACTAGCAGAAGTTAAATTAAAGTAAGTATCTGCTCTGTTTGAACAGGGTTAAAATATGTACAATATTCTCCTCAACATAACTATGTTCAAACAGACTATGAAAATAAAGTGAATTGATGATGGAACCCTAAATGATAGTTAGCTTCACCAATGTCCATCCTGTTTCACCCAGCCTGATTCAGTATCATCTAGCAACTTCATTTCAAAAGAGATTTCAATTAAACTTGCATTCAATTAAACTTGCAACTTCTTTTCGTAAGAAATTTCAACCAAAAGTTATGTCAAGTACAAAAATATGTTGATTGAGCTTGTGTCTGGTTTTCAGATGTGTACCTAATCCTGGACAGCCACATTCTGTCTCTATATATCTCATGGAACCTAAAACTTGTGAATATATTTTAGGGGTAAGTAGCACATTAGAATACAAGAATATTGTAACCATTCACTGTTAGTTGGAAATCATTTTAAAGAAAGATTTTTTTTCAAAAACAAGTTAAAGAATTTAGAAATGGAATTTAATAATTATAATAGTCTATTACTTCTGTATTATATATACTTAACACATATTAATAAAACATTATTGCATATAAAAAGAAACTGACAAATTGAATGTTTTTGTTTTAATTTACAGATTGAGTCGCCACTGTTCTGTAGTATACTGGATCGTGCTGATGAAAATGGTATAATTAAAGATAAAATCAACGTGTAAGAATACGCTGAACATGGGGAATAATGTGAATGATTGAGACAACAATAAAAACAGTAGGTCTATAATATAGATTATATTCAGGAACAGAGGATTGCTTTGATTAATTATTCTGGATAACTCGTCTAGTTTGAAAATCTTTGACCCCAGTGCAAAACCACATTTTACATTCATTTTGAAAGTGAAGTTAGTGCACAATCAACAGCTGTTCTCACATGACCTGAAAAGTTGTGTGTCTCACAACGAAATGACTTGGTTGAAATACAACTCAAGTCCGACCATAGTCTTGCCCTTGTGGAAGAACTTCAATAAAAACAAGTGCCTTTAACTCCTCAGTTATGTTTAATCACCATATACATAGCTTTAGCACTAAATCATGGTAGATGTAACTTTGTCACCGATGTGTGGAAGTATGGATGGAGCACATTCACTGTCAGGGCCCTGGTTGATATGACCACGATGTGTGGATACGATTTTTGTCATGTTTCATTTGCCTACATATTGTTTAATATTAGTCAGTGTTTATACCTCTTGGCAATGCCAAAAGTACATTGATCACATCACATCGTCTTTTCCTTAAGGCACTGCTATACAGAAGCCAAAACCTATTTGGATAAGTCATATATAAATACCAAAACACACAGTGTATATATTAAACTTAGATGATCAATTCCTCTTTTTCGTTTGTATCTAATCATACTAGCATATCTAAAAGCTTAAAAATCTGTCTTGGAAATATGCTCTGAATTTCTTGTTGTATTTTCTGAAAATGTTTTATGTAGAATTTTGTAGAAGCTCAGGTGACCTATTCTAATCACTTTCCGTCTGTCCGTCGTCGTGCGTAAACTTTTTACATTTTCAACTTCTTCTCAAGAACCAGTGGATGGATTTTGTTCAAACTTAGTCAGAATCATCCTTGGGAGATGAGGCTACAAAATTGTAAAATTGGGATTCCTACCCCAACCCCTGGGGCCAGGGCGGGGCCCCAAAGGGAAAATTAACCAATATTTCAAAAATCTTCTTCTCAAGACTCAGAGGTACTACATTCAATTTCAGTGCATAAAAAGAAAGATCATCAGGGGCTTAATTTAAATTGTAAATTTCAGGACCCCCTAGCTATCCGTTCTCCCTTTAGCTTGGTGAGGGGGTAAAGTTTACTATAGTTTATATAGGGAAATAACACTTTTGGGTATATTTTGACAACTTTTTGTAGGAAATTATTTTTACTTGGTGAGAATTATCCTTGGAGGTAGATGGTTTCAAATTGTAAAATTGAGATTCCTACCCCGACCCCTGGGGCCAGGGCGGGGCCCCAAAGGGAAAATTAATCAATATTTCAAAAATCTTCTTCTCCAGACTCAGAGGTACTACAGTGATTTTCTCTACGTGGAAAGAAAGATCATCAGGGGCTTTACTTAAATTGTAAATTTCAGGACCCCCGAGCTATCCGTTCTCCCTTGGGGAGGGGGTAAAGTTTACTATAGTTTATATAGGGAAATAACACTTTTGGGTATATTTTGACAACTTTCTGTAGGAAATTATTTTTACTTGGTGAGAATTATCCTTGGAGGTAGATGGTTTCAAATTGTAAAATTGAGATTCCTACCCCGACCCCTGGGGCCAGGGCGGGGCCCCAAAGGGAAAATTAATCAATATTTCAAAAATCTTCTTCTCCAGACTCAGAGGTACTACAGTGATTTTCTCTACGTGGAAAGAAAGATCATCAGGGGCTTTACTTAAATTGTAAATTTCAGGACCCCCGAGCTATCCGTTCTCCCTTGGGGAGGGGGTAAAGTTTACTATAGTTTATATAGGGAAATAACACTTTTGGGTATATTTTGACAACTTTCTGTAGGAAATTATTTTTACTTGGTGAGAATTATCCTTGGAGGTAGATGGTTTCAAATTGTAAAATTGAGATTCCTACCCCGACCCCTGGGGCCAGGGCGGGGCCCCAAAGGGAAAATTAATCAATATTTCAAAAATCTTCTTCTCCAGACTCAGAGGTACTACAGTGATTTTCTCTACGTGGAAAGAAAGATCATCAGGGGCTTTACTTAAATTGTAAATTTCAGGACCCCCGAGCTATCCGTTCTCCCTTGGGGAGGGGGTAAAGTTTACTATAGTTTATATAGGGAAATAACACTTTTGGGTATATTTTGACAACTTTCTGTAGGAAATTATTTTTACTTGGTGAGAATTATCCTTGGAGGTAGATGGTTTCAAATTGTAAAATTGAGATTCCTACCCCGACCCCTGGGGCCAGGGCGGGGCCCCAAAGGGAAAATTAATCAATATTTCAAAAATCTTCTTCTCCAGACTCAGAGGTACTACAGTGATTTTCTCTACGTGGAAAGAAAGATCATCAGGGGCTTTACTTAAATTGTAAATTTCAGGACCCCCGAGCTATCCGTTCTCCCTTGGGGAGGGGGTAAAGTTTACTATAGTTTATATAGGGAAATAACACTTTTGGGTATATTTTGACAACTTTCTGTAGGAAATTATTTTTACTTGGTGAGAATTATCCTTGGAGGTAGATGGTTTCAAATTGTAAAATTGAGATTCCTACCCCGACCCCTGGGGCCAGGGCGGGGCCCCAAAGGGAAAATTAATCAATATTTCAAAAATCTTCTTCTCCAGACTCAGAGGTACTACAGTGATTTTCTCTACGTGGAAAGAAAGATCATCAGGGGCTTTACTTAAATTGTAAATTTCAGGACCCCCGAGCTATCCGTTCTCCCTTGGGGAGGGGGTAAAGTTTACTATAGTTTATATAGGGAAATAACACTTTTGGGTATATTTTGACAACTTTCTGTAGGAAATTATTTTTACTTGGTGAGAATTATCCTTGGAGGTAGATGGTTTCAAATTGTAAAATTGAGATTCCTACCCCGACCCCTGGGGCCAGGGCGGGGCCCCAAAGGGAAAATTAATCAATATTTCAAAAATCTTCTTCTCCAGACTCAGAGGTACTACAGTGATTTTCTCTACGTGGAAAGAAAGATCATCAGGGGCTTTACTTAAATTGTAAATTTCAGGACCCCCGAGCTATCCGTTCTCCCTTGGGGAGGGGGTAAAGTTTACTATAGTTTATATAGGGAAATAACACTTTTGGGTATATTTTGACAACTTTTTGTAGGAAATTATTTTTACTTGTTGAGAATTATCCTTGGAGGAAGATGGTTTCAAATTGTAAAATTGAGATTCCTACCCCAACCCTAGGGGCCAGGGCGGGGCCCCAAAGGGAAAATTAACCAATATTTCAAAAATCTTCTTCTCAGGACTCAGAGGTACTACAGTCATTTTCTCTGCATGGAAAGAAAGATCATCAGGGGCTTTATTTAATTTGTAAATTTCAAGCTTCATACATTAAGATTTACTTTAAACTGTCAGGAAATTGGGGGAAAATACACATGTCACGTTTGGTTTACCTCTACAGTAGAAAGAGTATAAATTAATTAACCATGTACTTTCTGATGATTAGGCGATGGTCTTAGTATTTATATATAGTCAGGTATGCACTGGGCTTTGTTCAGCTAGGAAAACGTTTTTTTGGGAGAATGTTGATACAATTTACATTTAAATAGGTAAATTTCCTCCTTTCAATATAAACCATATCATTAGATATTATTTGTTTGATTTAAGTATTGTTTACAATCATTCCATAATTAATCATGTAGAGGAAGTGAAAGGCACAATTATTAATTTATTATCAGTGGTTGATGGATGGGGAAAGTGCTTCTGTCCCTCCCTTAACCATTTGTAGCATGTTTATAACATTGTCTATATCCTATTGCTAGAAGTAATGTTTATACAGTCAAACTTCATTATAATGCCACAATTTTTCTATTATAAAGGGGTTTGGTGATAAATTATGGGGAATCGAAAAAAAAATAATTAAGAAACAAGAAAAGGGACATAGAAATATGCTGGTAGTGAAGGAGGTTGCAAATGAAACGAAGGTTTTACTGTATAAAGGTCATGCTATTTTTACCTGGAAAAGACTTTGCCTCTTGTCCAATCCATTTCTATTTATATCAATGCACAAATGTAATGATGAAAATCTATGCAATCTCCAGTAAATGCGCTATATTTGTCACAAACTCGTATGTAGCTTTAGCCAACATTAATTTTTGGTATGTCTATGATAATAAACTGTCTCCCATTACATTTCCATTCCTTTATAACAAGAAAATGTTAAGTATGTACTATTATTTTTCCAGGGTTTTATAAATGTATTTTGTTTGCATTATTATTTTAATATGTTTATAAAATTGTGGAAATGGTTGGCAAATGAAATAATTTTTGCAGATTGGTATGAATGTAAATTGTACACATTTGTACACCAGGTACATGTATGTCATTAGATGTTGGTGATGGATTCTCAAGTCCTTGTACATTATATATATAATGTAAGTATAACTAAGTTAAAATGTTTTGAGCTGTTCTAGTGAGATTATGATATACACTGTACATGTACATGTTTTTATTTGCTCTTTCATTCATTCATTCATGAAAAGATTCATTGTTTTGTGGGTGTTGCATATGCATGTTGGCCGTAACTGACTTAAATGACAGACAAATCATCAGCCATTCAGATCTGTTTTCGTTTATCGCGATCCGAACGGTTGAACCAGTTGAACCAGTAGTTAATTTATGAAATAAGGTCTGAACCAGTAAGCTGATGCTGTTTTCAAAATTAATGTACCCTGGTTCTAAAGCACAGGTTCTTTTTTCGAATAATTTCATAACTGAAAATGGCTAAATGGCATAATGGCTTCTGATTTGCTGAAACTTGAAGCTTTTGTCCACACTAGGTGTAGATGTCCATTTCCTCTCAAGATTTGGAACTGTGCTTGTCAGAACTCAGGAGATTACATTGTTTTTAGAAGGTGTACTGTACCTTCAAGTTTGTATGGAGGTCTAGGGCCAAGAGTGGCACAGACAGGTGAATGTTTTGTTCTGTCTGGGATATGCTGGTACAATCTGTATTCTGATATGTCAAATGATTTTCATCCTACTTAAAATATGTATAGATTCCAGAAATCCAAATACCATTTTTAATGTTTTTGTGGTTTATATATAAGAATGTATATTGACATGTGTTGACCTACATTTTGTTTTTTTCGAAGAATTGTACTTGAACTTTTGTGTCATGATCGATGGTTTTATACCTCTTTGCTACCCACTGACAATTAGAAGCAGTTTACATAAACTCAATTGTGAACTAATTCCTAGTTGACTCCTTCTGTTCAAAGTTACTTCTGAATTAAGTGTCCTCTGTAGCATCCACATCCTTCTGTTTATTTTTATCCCTTTTTTTATATATTTCTTTAGTAAGGGCACTTATTAAGATGTCAGTAACTTGTATTGTATCTCCAATGAAGGAGAGTTCCAATTTGTATGGCATTTTTCTGACTTATTTAACTGGCAATTACCAATGCCCGATAGGTAGCCTACCCATATCAAATACAGTTCAGTAGAAATGTTACCAAATACTAATTCACTGTCCTGCAATAAGCTCATTTCCTACTTCGAGTCAAAAGCTCCTGGGCTTGTTGAAGGATATATATGGTAATACATGTAATTTTCCTTTTCACAATAATATCTTGACTTCACTATATGGATTTGATCCCCAGATCTATTAAATATAAAACAGTGACCTTATCTACTGTTCTACCAATCATAATATTTTTGTTATAATACATTTTCTGCAACATACTTAGGAATGAATTTTTCCAGACACTCTACCATACAAAAGTGAGCTTATGCCGTACAGCGGCGTCCGTCTGTTGTCCGTTGTCCGTCCGTCATATTCTCTTTTGAACGACTTCTGAAGAACTGGAGGACCTAGGGTCATGATATTTGGCCAGTAGGTACCTGGGATGGAGTGCTATAAAGTTTTCTCATTAAAATGACCTTGACCTACTTTCAAGGTCACAGGGGTCAAATATGCTAAAACCTTCAAACAACAATATCCTAACAACCATTTGGACTAGTCATGATACTTGGGTATGTAATGAAGACCAGATGTGAATCGTTTTCTTTATAACAGTAATGAGATCAAAGGTCAACTTTAAGTGTGAGTTGGGGGTCAAACGTTAACATGGGATAAAAGCTTTAACAATCTTTTTCTCAAGTTACATCAAGTCCAGGGTCATGATATTTGGCCAGTAGGTACCTGGGATGGAGTGCTATACAGTTTCCTCATTAAAATGACATTGACCTACTTTCAAGGTCACAGGGGTCAAATATGTTAAAAACTTCAAACAACAATATCCTAACAACCATTTGGACTAAAGTCATGATACTTGGGTATATAATGAAGACCAGATGTGAATCGTTTTCTTTATTACAGTAATGAGATCAAAGGTCAACTTTAAGTGTGAGTTGGGGGTCCAACATTAACATGGGTTAAAAGCTTTAACAATCTTCTTATCAAGTTCGATAAAGCCAGGGTCATGATATTTGGCCAGTAGGTACCTGGGATGGAGTACTATACAGTTTCCTCATTAAAATGACATTGACCTACTTTCAAGGTCACAGGGGTCAAATATGTTAAAAACAACAATATCCTAACAACCATTTGGACTAAAGTCATGATACTTGGGTATATAATGAAGACCTGCTGTGAATTGTTTTCTTTATTACAGTAATGAGATCAAAGGTCAACTTTAAGTGTGAGTTGGGGGTCTAACGTTAACATGGGTTAAAAGCTTTAACAATCTTCTTATCAAGTTCCATAAAGCCAGGGTCATGATATTTGGCCAGTAGGTACCTGGGATGGAGTGCTATAGTTTCCTCATTAAAATGACATTGACCTACTTTCAAGGTCACAGGGGTCAAATATGTTAAAAACAACAATATCCTAACAACCATTTGGACTAGAGTCATGATACTGGGGTATGTTATGAAGACCAGATGTGAATCATTTTCTCTATTACAGTAATGAGGTTAAATGTCAACTTTAAGTGCTAGCCGGAGTCAAAGGTCAATGCAGGTTAAAAGCTTTAAAATTAAAATTTGAAATTTCAAACAACAATAAGTTTAAGAGATGTTAAAATGTCTTGTGCTCTAGTTACCAAAATTGGTCTGAAGTTGCGTATATGTCAGTTTCATGTAACAAAAGAAACAGGTGAGCGATACAGGCCCTCTGAGCCTCTTGTTAATGTTAATAAAGGACTTATTTATCTTGGAGTTCTGAACCATCCAGATCACTAGCCCTCCACCACTGAGTCATAGGGTTTGGGCCTACAAGGGGCAGTTGCCAGGTACTGGCTGCAGGTTGATGTTTTTTTCAGGGTACTCTAGCTTTCCTCCATCACCGAAACCATAGTCGTTTAACGGGACGTAAAACACAACCTGATTATCCTAGGAACGACAGTTATAATATGCAGAATTTCTGTAGAATACCCTGACAATCTCAATTATCAATAATGATTATCAACCTTTATAATCGATGCATAATATGTATTGCCACAACTAGATTTATATCGCAGTACTGATGTTCACAGAACGCCTGATCAGATGAGTACCGACACACTGTTCAGGAAGATAGGTCATTTCGGGTTAAAGGTACCCTGTAGTTATTACAGGGATTTTAGTAATTTCAAAATTGATATCTTGCAATGTTTGCAATTTTCCCAAAGTAAATATGTGTATTCCAAAAGTATCATGTTTAAATATGTACAGTGTTTTGTACTATTCCTGACAAGTGTATTAAATACCTTGTGTCCCATGCAGTATACCCTGTGCATGTCTTCAACCTGCTGAAATAAAAAAACCAGCAATGCAGTATGTTCTCAGGTGTTTTTTTATTGATTGATCATTTATACTGATTCCTATATGCTGTAACTGACTTTTCTGTTTCCACTTGTTCAGGATTGAAGGATTCATATCGAACAGACACTGCATGTACAACTATTGTATATGAAAACAAGACTCAACTTAAGAAGTATTCAACGCGTCAGTACAATCTTAACAGTTCCGAGATAAAATCCCTTTACCATATTGAATGGTATTCATCAAGGTTTTTTTTTTATCTTTGTGACAAAATTTTGATCTTTAATTTCAAAATTTGTTAAGGTAATAGGATTGTCACCATTTCTCAGTAGAATTTCTTCAAATTTTGTAGTTATATTGCTTTAAAGTAAAGAAAATTTTCTGCCACAAAAAACATATAGGTTGTCAGAATTTCAAGGATTTTAAATGGAAATTTATGTAAAAAGGAGTGGATTTTGAAAAAAAAAATGAAAGACACAATATTTTTACAAAATAATGTCAATAAAAATGATACTGACATATATTAGTATTGCATTAATGTATATCAATTTAATAAATGCTGAAATTGTGTAAAATTAATTCTCTATACACGATATAAAAATTGACATTTTATAATAAAACCATATACACATAGTAATTGCAGGAAAGAGTTATCGTTCTTGAAAAACTTCACAGTAGTGAAATAGGTAGCCGGGTTCCTGGAGTACAGAAAATGGACACATGTGACTCATTGATAAAAAAAACCTGAATTAATGCCTGGATTGCCATGAAATACTTTAATATTGAGAGAACACACTGTTCTGTCAATAATAAACATACAATATTCATCAGTTTAATATTAAACATTAGAATTTGCGGAAATTGTGATACTGTCTCCCTACATTGGATTTTCAACTAGGGATGTACTTCCTGTTTCCGTTTATTAATAAACTCCAATGACCTTAAGTAAATTGTAAATAATTTTCAATGGAAATTGAAACTTCACAGCACAGAGAGTAGTCCATCTAACATTTATTACATAATCAATGCATGATTTTCTTTTAAAGTATATGAATACTTGATACTTGACACTAATATATTCATATCAAAATTGATGCAATAAATTTAACTTATAGAAGAATTAACATCCCTATCCAAAATATTTGATTTTGAAATGCCTGTTAATAAAGACAATGTAGATCTCTTTCAGAAGTATATCAGTTTTAAAGCAGAGCAAAGGGAGGGGAAATCGGATCGCTACTGATGTTTTCACAGAGTTACATCAATTGTACATCATAGTCTACACCTTTTTTTATTTATCTCCATAACAGGTCTACTTCACTGATTTGTCCTTCATAGACCACAGCTGACAACAGGTATCCCAACAACCTTCTTGCCTATGGACTAAAACACATTCAACTTGACAAACTATGATCTCGATAATTGTTTAGAATGCTGAGTACTTTCTATGTCATTTCAAATGACATAAATGACTATCTACATGCTGCAAAAACTGGCTAAAAACTAGGTATACTTTGTGCAATATCAAAAATAATTCTACATATGTATAGGGTTAATAATCAGCTAATTCCACATTGTCCCACTTATTTGGCCAGGCCGAGGGCCAATGTGATGGACTGAGGCCTAATAACTGGGCCAATGTGGAATTAGCTGATTAATGACACTTTTATTAATTATTCACTTGTATATTTTTGGAAATAATCTTAAAATAACAACAAGAGGCCCAGAGGACCTGTATGGCTCACCTGAATATCGAAACAATTATGGCAAAATATTCTCCAAATGAGATCTAAGGAAATAGGCCAGACCCCAAAGCCAATCCTTGTAGCAATCTGTATTAGATTTTTTCATGCCCAGCATTTTTATGTATGGTTATGGGGTGGGGGTCTCAACTGTTTCCAAGCTGTGAATCAAAAACTAGATCCGTAGGGTTGTGGCCAGACCCCAGGATCTATTCTAATATCATGACTGCATTCGTCTCTTTATGCCCAGCATTTGTATATAGTTTAGGGGTGGGGATCATAACCATTTAAAAGTAATGACCCAGGGGTTAAGTCTGCAAGGGTGGGGCAGACCCCAAGGCCAACCTCAAAGGGTATGTGCATTCATTTCTTTATATTCAGCAATTGTATATATGGTTATGGGGTGGGGATCTCAACTGTTTCAAAGATATAAACCAGAAACTAAGTCCCTAGGGGTGGAGAAAGACCCAAGGGCCTATTTTTACATCATGATTGTGTTTATCTCTTGATGCCCAGTAATGCTACATATGGTTATGGGGTGGTGATCTCAACTGTTTCAAAGATATAACCCAGAAACTAAGTCCCTAGGGGTGGGGAAAAACCCCAGGGCCTATTTTTACATCATGATTGTGTTTATCTCTTGATGCCCAACAATGCTATATATGGTTATCGGGTGGGTATCTCAACGGTTTCAAAGATATAACCCAGAAACTAAGTCCCTAGGGGTGGGGAAAAACCCCAGGGCCTATTTTTACATCATGATTGTGTTTATCAATATAATACTATATATGGTTATGGGGTGGGAATCTCAACTGTTTCAAAGATACATCGATCCATAACATACAATATTGACCCCACCCTACCACTTGACTCCTTGACCCCAGGGCCATAAAATTCAAGAGAGCTAGTTGATGATTATAATTAAATGTGCCTTTACTCTCTGCCACTTGAAGGAGTAGAAAAGAAGATTTTTAAAGATTACCCCATTTTTATACATCCGTCTGTCCGTCTGGCATAAACTTTTGTTTGTCCTGCAATCTCCTACTACATTTTTCGACCGACCTCTTTGGTATACATTATAATCATGATATGAAGTTGTGTCTCCCTAGAATTTTGAGTCGACGATTTTTGCAGAAGTTATTGCCCTTTGTTCATTTCGTTCCGCCCTGCAGTACTCTTGTTTACCTATTTGGCCCCACCCCTCAGGCCCCTGGGAGTGCAGCTCCATAAATTTCATAAAGTCAGATCCCCATGTCCTAGTGATGTTCTAAGTCAAATTTGGTCAAAATTGACCCAGTAGTTTTGAAGAAGAAAATTAAATGTATAAATACATAATTACATAACAAGTACACAATATTGACCCTGCACCCTACTCTTGACTCCTTGACCCCAGGGCCATAAATTTCATACATTCAAAAGAGGGCTATAGTTGATGATTATAATTAAATGTGCCATTACTCCCTACTACTTGTAAGAGTAGAGAAAAAGAATTTTAAAGATAACTCCTTAGGGCCTGGTGAGCTAAAAATGAACTGATTAAATTCAACAAATTTAATAACAATAATTTCAAAATTGTATTCAGTTGATTTCTACCTGTGAACTAGACATGGACTGACTGTACTTCACTTTTTTCTGGGGGTGAGAGGCATTACATTATGTGCAACACATAACAGGGGAAAGGGCAGAAAACCTTGTAGTTCAGAATTCGCCTTTGAGCATGTATTACTAATATATCAGTAAGCAATGTCATGCATTATAACTGCTAGCATATCTTCGCCGTTTTTGGCGGGGCTGTCAGATCCTTGCTCCATGGTTAGTTGTCTTCTGTTGTTGTCCATGAAGCGTTACTGAAGCTAAAAGTAGTCATTGCTGATAAGTATAGAAATGTTCTGCAAAATATGGCGCAGTATCGATATTGGCCCAGTTGATCCTGTATTGGCCAAGTTCGTCGATATTGGCCCAGTTTCTCCCATATTGGCCCAGTTTTGCTATGACATTGATTGGGAAGTTTTCTCATATTATTGTCAATATGCAAGTAGTTAATTAATAATGGCTATTACACCTAAAAAAGCTGATTTTACAGTAACCAAAAGTAAAACATTAATTGATGAATCAGTCTAACAACCCACAAAGTTGAATCATACCTGTAGTCCTTGATTGAATTAATTTGACACATTTTTATAGTTTTAAGTTAATTCGACACATTATTATAGTGTTAAGTTTATGGTCAGGAGTCTCCAACATGTACAAGCTGTTTTCCTATATTGCCTCCCTTCATCATGGAAACAAATGCCTTGCCAGCATGTTCTAGTCCTTCTGCAATGGTCTCTCTTACCTGAAATTGAACAGAGGATGACACAGTGACAAGAAAATAGACCTATGGAGTAGAAAACTAAGAGCAGTATATGGCTGTGATACACATGTCAATCTAAACAAAAATTGATTTATTGTCTATCCATGATGAATCCTATAATGCAGTTTTATAAAAAATTATGAAGTCATTTAGATGTTCTTGACCAAATGAATATTGGTAGAAAACTATTTCCAAAACTCACCTTTAACTTTCCTTGTAACGTCCACTGGACAAGCTGTTTCATCCCAGACTCGAACTTATCTGGGTAATTTAGCACCAGGTACCTGTCTCTACAAAAGTGATGACAAATACAGTAAAACTGCATGGTCAAGGCAGATCACTCTAATGAGATAAATCTTTTCGAAATATACTACATGTAAAAGATTTTATTTTATTACTAAAACCTTTGACCTGTGGAGACGAATCACCTGTCTTGAAAGACACCTTTGAATATGATTTTATTATTTATAATTAGACCTTTTGACCTGACATGAGAAACTAACTGTCCTCAGAGATTCCTTAGGAAAGATGGAAGGTAGGGAACATCTTGGGATAGGTGGCGAGTAGAAAACATCCTCAGGATAGGTGAGGGTAAGGAATTTCATCAAGGATAGGCAGAGGGAAGGGTAATCCTCAGGGATAGTTGTAGATATTACCCTGAAATCGAAGTAGAGAAATTCTCAGGGAAAGGTGGACGACAGGGGATATCTTTGAGGCTAGGTGAAAGGAAGAGGAGGGAAGAAACATTCCTCTGGAAAAGGTGAAGGGAAGGCAACATCCTACATGGAATGGTGACAGTATAGAAAATTTTAGAAGGTATGTAAAGGCTACAGAACATATCTTGGGATGTGAAGGTTTGGAACATGTATGACATGTTTACCTTGTGATGTTTTTGTCCCTGAGAGTTTTCTGTACCTCCTCAGGGATAGGTGGAGGGTAGGGTACATCCTTGTTGTATACAGCTATCTGTCCACATAGTACCACATGAGAATCTGCATTCATCTGCTGTATGATAATGTTGCTTAGATCTCCTCCTACATTATCAAAATATACATCAACACCAGTGGGACACACCCTCTGTAGCTCAGAGGAAACATCTTGTGTTTTATAGTTGATTGCGGAATCAAATCCTAGCTCTTTAGTCAAGAACTGGCATTTCTCTGAAGAACCACATGTACCCACAACACTTGAGCAGCCTTCTAGCTTTCCAATCTGAAAAATAACAAAATATTAAATAATCTTTGTTGAGAATAACAAATCAAAATTTTAAAAGGAAGATTAAATAGTGCCGACACACATCATGATAGTCAAGATACATAACGCAGTTCACAAAGAGATTAATCAACAATGTTAGAAATTGAATCAACACCTGAATTTTAAAGGCTCGCCAATATCAAGTGACCTGTTAAAATAATGCATACCAGCCAATGATAAAAAGTATCTTAAGTCTTATTCACCTGTCCAGTCAGTAATCCACAAGTAACTGGTTTCTTTCTCATTTGTCCAGCCAGTAATGCACAAGTACCTGTTATTCCACTTAAATGTTAAGTCTGTGTCCAGCCATTGATCAACATTTGCTTATTGTTCCACTCACCTGTCCAGTCAGTAATCCACAAGTAACTGGTTTCTTTCTGATTTGTCCAGCCAGTAATGCCCAAGTACCTGTTATTCCACTCACCTGTCCAGTCAGTGATCCTAGAGTACCTATTGTGCCACTCACCTGTCCAGCCATTGGACCACAATTACCTGTTGTTCCACTCGCCTGTCCAACCATTGATCCACAAGCACCTGTTGTTCCACTCATCTGTCCAGCGATTGATCCATAAGTACCGGTTGTTCCACTCACCTGGCCAGCCATTGAACCACAAGTACCTGTTGTTCAACTCACCTACCCAGTCAGTGATCCTAGAGTACCTATTGTTCCACTCACCTGTCCAACCATTGAACCACAGGTACCTATTGTTCCACTCACCTGTCCAGCCATTGATCCTAGAGGACCTATTGTTCCACTCACCTGTCCAGCCACTGATCCACAATTACCTGTTGTTCCACTCACCTGTCCAGCCATTGAACCACAAGTATACAGTTGTTTCATGCCTTATCAGTCAACAGTCAAAACTATTTTCCTGAGGAGTTTGGACCCACCAGACGAACTGTTTCCCCAGGCTGTTGTTCCACTCACCTGTACAGCCATTGATCCACAATTAACTGTTGTTCCACTCACCTGTCCAGCCATTGAACCACAAGTATACAGTTGTTTCATGCCTTATCAGTCAACAGTCAAAACTATTTTCCCGAGGAGTTGGGACCCACCAGATGAACTGTTTCCCCAGGCTGTTGTTCCACTCACCTGTCCAGCCATTGAACCACAAGTACCTGTTGTTCAACTCACCTACCCAGTCAGTGATCCTAGAGTACCTATTGTCCCACTCACCTGTCCAGCCATTGAACCACAAGTATACAGTTGTTTCATGCCTTATCAGTCAACAGTCAAAACTATTTTCCCGAGGAGTTGGGACCCACCAGATGAACTGTTTCCCCAGGCTGTTGTTCCACTCACCTGTACAGCCATTGATCCACAATTAACTGTTGTTCCACTCACCTGTCCAGCCATTGAACCACAAGTACCTGTTGTTCCACTCACCTGTCCAGGCAGTGATCCTAGAGTACCTATTGTTCCACCCACCTGCCCAGCCATTGATCCATAAATACCTATTGTTCCACTCACCTGTCCAGCCAGTGATCCTAGAGTACCTATTGTCCCACTCACCTGTCCAGCCATTGATCCTAGAGGACCTATTGTTCCACCCACCTGTCCAGCCACTGATCCACAAATACCTATTGTTCCACTCACCTGTCCAGCCAGTGATCCTAGAGTACCTATTGTCCCACTCACCTGTCCAGCCATTGATCCTAGAGGACCTATTGTTCCACCCACCTGTCCAGCCACTGATCCACAAATACCTATTGTTCCACTCACCTGTCCAGCCATTTATCCACAAGTACCTGTTGTTCCACTCACCTGTCCAGTCAGTGATCCTAGAGTCCCTATTGTTCCACTCCCCTGTCCAGCCACTGATCCACAAATACATATTGTTCCACTCCCCTGTCCAGCCATTGATCCACAATTACCTATTGTTCCACTCACCTGTCCAGCCATTCAACCACAAGTACCTATTGTTCCACTCACCTGTACAGCCATTGATCCACAATTAACTGTTGTTCCACTCACCTGTCCAGCCATTGATCCTAGAGTACCTATTGTTCCACCCACCTGCCCAGCCATTGATCCATAAATACCTATTGTTCCACTGACCTGTCCAGCCATTGATCCTAGAGGACCTATTGTTCCACCCACCTGTCCAGCCACTGATCCACAAATACCTATTGTTCCACTCACCTGTCCAGCCAGTGATCCTAGATTACCTATTGTTCCACTCACCTGTCCAGCCAGTAATCCTAGAGTACCTATTGTTCCACTCACCTGCCCAGCCAGTGATCCTAGAGTACCTATTGTTCCCCTCACCTGTCCAGCCATTGAACCACAAGTACCTGTTGTTCAACTCACCTACCCAGTCAGTGATCCTAGAGTACCTATTGTCCCACTCACCTGTCCAGCCATTGAACCACAAGTATACAGTTGGTTCATGCCTTATCAGTCAACAGTCAAAACTATTTTCCCGAGGAGTTGGGACCCACCAGATGAACTGTTTCCCCAGGCTGTTGTTCCACTCACCTGTCCAGCAATTGATCCACAATTACCTGTTGTTCCACTCATCTGTACATCCATTGATCAATAAGTACCTGTTGTTCCACTCCCCTACCCAGTCAGTGATCCTAGAGTACCTATTGTCCCACTCACCTGTCCAGCCATTGAACCACAAGTACCTATTGTTCCACTCACATGTCCAGCCATTGATCCTAGAGTACCTATTGTTCCACTCACCGGTCCAGCCATTGATCCACAAGTACCTGTTGTTTCACTCACCTGTCCAGCCATTGATCCACAATTACCTGTTGTTCCACTCATCTGTCCAGCCATTGATCAATAAGTACCTGTTGTTCCACTCACCTACCCAGTCAGTGATCCTAGAGTACCTATTGTTCCACTCACCTGTCCAGCTATTGATCCACAAGTACCTGTTGTTCCACTCCCCTGTCCAGCCATTGATACACAATTACCTGTTGTTCCACTCACCTGTCCAGCCAGTGATCCACAATTACTTGTTGTTCCACTCATCTGTCCAGCCATTGATCAATAAGTTCCTGTTGTTCCACTCACCTACCCAGTCAGTGATCCTAGAGTTCCTATTGTTCCACTCACCTGTCCAGCCAGTGATCCACAATTACTTGTTGTTCCACTCATCTGTCCAGCCATTGGACCACAAGTACCTGTTGTTCCACTCACCTGTCCAGCCAGTGATCCTAGAGTACCTATTGTTCCACTCACCTGCCCAGCCAGTGATCCTAGAGTACCTATTGTTCCACTCCCCTGTCCAGCCAGTGATCCTAGAGTACCTATTGTTCCACTCCCCTGTCCAGCCATTGATCCATAAGTACCTGTTGTTCCACTCATCTGTCCAGCCATTGATCCACAAGTACCTGTTGTTCCACTCGCCTGTCCAGCCATTGATCCACAAGTACCTGTTGTTCCACTCACCTGTCCAGCCATTGAACCACAAGTACCTATTGTTCCACTCACCTGTCCAGCCAGTGATCCTAGAGTACCTATTGTTCCCCTCCCCTGTCCAGCCATTGAACCACAAGTATACAGTTGTTTCATGCCTTATCAGTCAACAGTCAAAACTATTTTCCCGAGGAGTTGGGACCCACCAGATGAACTGTTTCCCCAGGCTGTTGTTCCACTCACCTGTCCAGCCATTGGACCACAATTACCTGTTGTTCCACTCACCTGTCCAGCCAGTGATCCTAGAGTACCTATTGTTCCACTCCCCTGTCCAGCCAGTGATCCTAGAGTACCTATTGTTCCCCTCCCCTGTCCAGCCATTGAACCACAAGTATACAGTTGTTTCATGCCTTATCAGTCAACAGTCAAAACGATTTTCCTGAGGAGTTTGGACCCACCAGATGAACTGTTTCCCCAGGCTGTTGTTCCACTCACCTGTCCAGCCATTGATCAATAAGTACCTGTTGTTCCCCTCCCCTACCCAGTCAGTGATCCTAGAGTACCTATTGTTTCACTCACCTGTCCAACCATTGATCCTAGAGTACCTATTGTTCCACTCACCGGTCCAGCCATTGATCCACAAGTACCTGTTGTTCCACTCCCCTGTCCAGCCATTGGACCACAAGTACCTGTTGTTCCCCTCATCTGTCCAGCCATTGATCCATAAGTTCCTGTTGTTCCACTCACCTGTCCAGCCATTGGACCACAAGTACCTGTTGTTCCCCTCATCTGTCCAGCCATTGGACCACAAGTACCTGTTGTTCCACTCATCTGTCCAGCCATCGATCCATAAGTACCTGTTGTTCCACTCACCTTTCCAGCCATTGGACCACAAGTACCTGTTGTTCCACTCACCTGTCCAGCCAGTGATCCTAGAGTACCTATTGTTCCACTCCCCTGTCCAGCCAGTGATCCTAGAGTACCTATTGTTCCACTCACCTGTCCAGCCATTGGACCACAAGTATACAGTTAAACAACTGTTTTGTTACATGATCAATGAAAAACAAAACTGATTTCTTCAAACCTGTCCATGTTGAATGTACCGACAGACAACCGTCAACAATCCAGTACCAAAAACACTTGATCATCGGGGTGCTTGTAAATATAGGTGCATTCGATTACCTAACACGTAACCAGTCAACAGTTGTAGGGTAGCAAGTACCAGTTCATCACGTGACCAGTCAACAGTTTTACGGAAGCACACATTAGCTATAGTTCGTTTGGTGAATTGTCTGGGAAACAGTCGAAATTGATTAATATGCTTTTATATAGTGAGTCAGGTAACAATACCTGTTGTTCCACTCACCTGTCCAGCCATTGAACCACAAGTACCTATTGTTCCACTCACCTGTCCAGCCAGCGAACCACAAGCACCTGCTGCTCCACTCACAACCATTGTCTGATTGGCACCTGGGATCACATGACCTTTTTCTTTGACCCCAAGGTAAGAGGTAAGACCAGAGGTCAAAGACAATATACTGAGGTATAAGGAAACCTTTCCATTTACTAGTGAAGAATCAATCTGAAACATTAACAGCAGAACTTCTGGGTTAAAACAAGAGCATCATTGAAATTGACTTATTCAATTTGACAATTTTATTTACAGGCATAAAAATGCAGATAAATTATCAAAAATAAAGAAAATACCTCTGTGGCATATACCTTTCCTAGTTGGAAGAGCTCTCTTGGAGTTTCTAGGAAGTATTTAGCCCACTGCCAATTAAATCCCGCGTGGACCACATCTCCCTCTTGGAAGGCGGGGCAGGCTGATTTCACTACTACTCCGATTCCCCCAAATCCCCCAATCCGGTCTCCAATCTGGAATGGCCCTATGTAGGTCACACCAGTCTCCTCATTCAGCCGACATCTCTGTACACAGATGTAGCTCATTTAGCAAACAATAAAGGCTAACAAAAGTCCCAAGGGCCTTAGCAGTCACCTGAGTTATACTATAGGTACCAGTAGCTCAATTTTATTGTTGAGATGAACAAAATGTGGAAAACAACATATAAACAAAGTGAAATACAATACTTGTTATATCACCAAAGGATAAGAACTTTAAAAACTATTCAAATAAATTATTAAGCTATTGAGAATTATACCCTTCTCCCCAAGGGGGGTAATGAAATTTACAATTTAGGTAATGGTAATTTAGGTAAGGACCTTGCTATCCATGAACAATAAAACATCTTAGTCTGATAAAGGTTTTTTTTAACTTTTAACCATAATCCCCATTTGGCTACCACCCCTCCAGCCCCTGGGGATGGGGCAGGATCTTTTTTCTCATACCATATAATTGCCATCTGGCTTCATAATCATTCCAACCATGTTGGAATAATTCCCTGCTGAAAATGGACAAAATATACCCAAAAGTATTATTTCCCTAAATAAACTAAAGTCAACTTTAGCCCATCCCCAAAGGAGAATGGATGGCCCGGGGGTAATAAAATTGAAAGATAGATAAAGCCCCTGACAGAATTTCATCCATGCACATAAGTTGATTGTACTACTGTACATCTAAATCTGAAGAAGAAGATTTTTGAAATATTACTTAATTTTCCCTTTGGTAACCCACCCTGGCTCCTGGGGGTTGGGGTAGGAATCCCAATTTTACAATTTGATACCATCTTCCTCCAAGGATGATTCTCACCAAGTAAGAATAATTTTCTACTGAAAATGAACAATTATACCCAAGTGTTATTTCCCTATATAAACTATAGTAAATTTTACCCCCTCCCCAAAGGAGAACAGATGGCCTGGAGGTACTGAAATTTACAATTTAAATAAAGCCCCTGATGATCTTTCTTTCCATGCAGAGAAATTGACTGTAGTACCTCTGAGTCTGGATAAGATTTTTGAAATATTGGTTAATTTTCCCTTTGGGGCCCCACCTTGGCCCCAGGGGTTGGGGTAGGTATCCCAATTTTACAATTGTGTAGCCTCATCTACCAATGATGATTCTGACTAAGTTTGAAAAAAATCCATCCACTGGTTCTTGAGAAGAAGTCGAAAATGTAAAAAGGTTACGCACGACGACGGATGGAAAGCGATCAGAATAATAATACCGTAAAAACCCATGTAATTTGCGCACTTTTTTTTCAGAAATTTAATACCCAAAGTGGGGGGTGCACAAAATACATAGGTATATAAGCAATTTCAAGTTTTTTTTATGAAAAGATTGACGATTCTGGCAGATCGCCATCTTGGACACGAGATAATCTCCATTTATGTAAAATATTGCTAAAATGAATTGATGTATGCCGATATGCGCACACGTGTGTGTCATGTGTGATCAGATATTTCAAAGGAAACAAACAACAAAATACACATTTTACGCAGTTTCTTCTTAGTTTTAACATCATTGTACCTGTAAACAATACTTATGAACTTACTTATGATAAACAAATTCCAAAAACCTTAAGAATCCCAAGCGGTTTGCCTTTCATTTTCAGAGATCGAATTTTCGGAACTTGAAACTTTTTTTTTCAATTTTGTTTTGGTGCGCAAAATATTCGAGTAGAAGCTTTTTTAAGGATTTTCAGCCTCAAAAAGTACCTGCGCAAATTACACAGGTGCGCAAATTACATGGGGTTTTACGGTAATAATAACCTTATATATAAGAATACATGTGTGGTACATGATTTTCTTATTAAATGGTAACCAGTTGAGGGTAGCAAACAATTCCCTTGAAGGAGTTGTATAATCAGCATCTTAAATTATTTCAGCTGCACGTTTTGAAGTATACTATACAGTTGATACATTTTTGTGTAGTTGTCATGCATGATCCCCATACAGTACATGCGATAACTAGAACTGTAAGCCAAAGGCTATGGTTGAAATGAAAGACATCAGGGGGTAATTACCATATTTGTAAACTTTCATTGAAATCCGACCAGTAGTTAAGGAGACGGACAAAGTTTTTTTTCCAACAAAGACCATATAACTCCTTTTAAAAGGGTCGGAATGAAAAAGTACTACTTGGCTGCACAACATTAGGGGGCAGTTACCATATCTGTAAACTTTGAAATTGGCCAAGTAGATTAGGAGAATTTGTTAGGACAAGGATTTTTCAACATAGGGCCATAACTCCAGAAAAAAAGTGTTGGAAAAAAATGGCTGCATGCACAACTTCAGGTGGAAGTTATCATATCTGAAAACTTTTGTTGAAATTGGCCCAGTAGTTAATTGGAGAAGTTGTTTGGGCAAGAGTTTTTCAACAAAGGGCCATAACTTTGTAAAAATAAAGGGTGAGAAAGAATAAAAATAACCTGGATGCACAACTTCACATTGAGTTTGATTGCATTATACAGTGTATCATGATGTTTGAGATGGTTATTTGTTTGTTTTGAAACATGTTTTTTTTATAATTTTTGAGATATTTGCCAAAACAGAAATGGGGCGATAGTTGGTGGGATTGTCCTTATCACCATTTTTTAAAAGAGGATCCCCGGAGTTAGTCTAGCTTTTAAAGAAGTGGAAAATTTATAAGTTTAAGAGGTTTCCACATCAGAGTGTCAAGATAACAATTATTTTGAAAATTGTAGGCCATTTTCAGATAAATACAGTTTACTGTCGGCTAATTGTATACTTATAAAATATAATTTTTAGAAAGAAAAAAAAATATAAGAAGAAAAGGCTCCATCAATATACTCATGATTATGCCCTAGCTTATATATAACTTGACATTTATATCAAAATGTTGAATACATCTTTTATAACATAGCATGTATGACATTCTTAATGATGTTCTGGACAACACAATAAATTATATAATACCTTCACTCTGTACATTTTTATCAGACAGAGTTTTTTTGAAGAATACATCATACAACATACTGTATGAACAATGTAAAAAGCAACTCTAACCATCGCAGGATCTACAGACAAGTATAAGGTTTTCAGGAGAACTTCATTGTTCTGAGGATCACATGGGTAATCACACTCTTCATATCCAAAATTGTCCTCTGCAGGCTCTCCATTTACACCTAAAATATAATATCATACAACTTTAATGAATATTACCTCTAAAACAATCAAATATAATCAGGAATTTGTTTATTTTGCAGTATTTTGTTAATATCGTACATACTAAATATATTATGATTAAAAACTGTAGTTTGTTAGATATGGTTGTCATTTTGTGTAAATGATACAAACCCGGCCTTTTAGTGAAGATAACGTGATGATTCTTGGCCATTTCCCCCTTGCTTTCACTTATGTTCTAAGGGCAGATAACTCAACAACTAAATAAGTCATTGTCACACTGGCGCTTGGCACATTGCGTAAACGACCTTTCTGTCAAACGTTTGTGCGACCCTTCTAACAAGCATGGCTTCCAACGTGCCAGTCAAGAAAAGCAGGCTGGGGAAAAACAAGAAGAAAGCATGGAAGGCAATAGATGTAACAGAAGTCGAAGATGTTATGGAAGACGAACGAATGCAAGAAAGAACTGGGTATGCTTCGTGAAAGATATTTCAGTTAAAAACTGTTTTTACTACTCGATGGTTTGGGTTACAGCTAGCCCATGTAAAATATAATCACACTGTAAACATTACAGAACACATTTACCCCACATTTGTCAACATATACGATTTTGGTTTCTGTTTTCAAATCTAGAATAACAATTAGTCACCAACATTATTTCTTTACTAAAATATATTCCAGATCTAAAGATAATGAAACGTAAATAAAAACACTTTATAAAACATGAACAATTTCATTGTGATGAATGTACATATCGTAATCCTACCTTCGCTGATTTAGCATATTATTCAGGTTAGATACGTTGATCTGTTGGCGTTAATCATTTGTGTTATGTCTCCGTAATTCGAACGCTTAGAAGACAGATAGTTTTCGAGGTACAATCAAAACGTACAGGTGATTATACCTCACTCACCGCTAGGTGTCGCTAGGATAGCAAGAGGGTATAAATAGGCAGAATCCAGCGACAATCGGCCCAGTTCTGTTCTGATCTCGGCGTGTGTACAGCAGTGACAGATCGCAAGTACCTAATATATGCGAGACCGGCTTTGTGTTGGAAAGATAGAAGTGACTGAATAAGTCTTGCCTTGATCCACACACTGCCTGGAAGATATATTAAATAAACGATTGAGTGCTGTAGCGAGATACCGTTAGACAGAAGGTGTCACGGGCATAGGCTGTGCAGTGCTAGTCGCGACCAGGCTAGTCGTGACTAGGTATAGTCGTTGGTGCTAGTCGTGACTAGGGGTAGTCGCGACCAGGCTAGTCGTGACTAGGTATAGTCGTTAGAGCTAGTCGTGACTAGGGATAGTCGTGGTCATTAGAGAGTGCTGTAGTTGTATACTAGTATGAGGCTGTCGTGATCGGCGCGACTAGGTCATATAGCTAGGTAGCTGACTATAGGGCAACTATAGTGACTAGGGCTAGCCGCGACTAGGTAGTCGAGTTGTGTACTGCCTGGATTGTACGGTAGTGTGTGTAGTGTGTTATATTGATACAGAGCAGATAGCTTTGGTATTAGTTCTATAGTCGTGCAGTAATTATTCTGTTCATATCATGTATTAAGCATTAGGTAATAGGTATGCTGGTTACAAGGTAGTAACACATATTTGTATATATTTGCAACTGTAGTATAGTTATAATTAAGCTTACAGCACAGGGATCCTTAGAAGTGACTAGGGTACGGACCCCGGAACGTTACATAATTTTGGTGGCAGCGTGTGGGATCCCTGTGGTTAGGTTTCAGTATTATAATTTGTGTTTATTAGAATAAACCTGTACTGTTTTTATAGTCATACCTTATAGTTATTTGTATTGGTTTGTGAAGATGGCTAGCTATGTAGAGGATGATGTTCTCAGTCCATTAGAGGATGTCGAGGAAACTGTTAGCCAGAGAGGGGACGGGTCGTACCATGGTCGTACAAGCCCTATGACACCAGGGATAAAAAGGCATGTCCATTATTCAAAATCTACACCTCGTAGACCTAGGGACTCTGGTATTGCATCGAGTGATAGAACTAGAGGGGAATATACACAGCACATAGATGTTCCCAGGCTATCCTCAGATATGGCTGTTGATAAGGTTGAGGATGAAATCAGACAAATGAGGGCTGAGTTGTCTAGGTTACAGACAAAGAGTGAAGGTATTCTAAAACCGTCTCCAACTACAAGGCCATATACTGAAAGGAAATTGGACCACCCCAGAGAGAGAGCCCGTTCAAGAACAGAGCAGCTCCCTGACTATGTTGGTGACATTGATGGAGGTGGTCGAGATTGGGTGACACAAAGGAACTCTCAGAGACGTCGCAGGAGGCCAGTATATGAGCATGACAGCGGTAGTGAGGATGATGAAGAACAAGAGTATTCCAGAAAACCACGCAACACTCCAATGAAGGTCAGACATGTGAAGGCTGCAACATATGATGGTTCCACCTCATGGGTTGACTACAAATCTCATTTTGAGACTTGTTCCCGTATCAACAACTGGTCGGATTATGAAAAGGGTCTTTATTTGGCTGTTGCACTCAGAGGTCAAGCACAAGGCATCCTTGGGGACCTGGCCATATCAAAGCAAGAAGACTATAAGTCCCTGGTCAGCGCATTAGAAGAACGTTTTGCTCCTCCTAACCAAACAGAGTTATACCGGGTTCAACTCTTAGAGAGGCGACAGAAAGCAGCGGAAAGTCTGCCAGAGCTGGGACAAGCCATTAGACGGCTCGTAAACCTGGCATACCCGACAGTGCCCAGTGATGTGCGGGATACCTTGGCTAAGCAGCAATTCATTGAGGCTCTAGCTGATTCAGACATGAGAATTAGGATAAAACAAGGTAGACCTCAAACTCTGACAGACACTATACGGCTAGCTGTGGAACTGGAGGCCTACACTCGAGCTGAAAAGAAATGGAGTGATGGTAAAGCTCATCTGAGATCCACAAACACAGAGGACAGTCCTACTACAGAGAAGGCTAGTGTGACTACAGAGAAAGCTAGTCAGAACTCTGATATGTCTAGTCTATTAAAAGGCATACAACAGCAACTACAGTCCTTACAAGATGAGGTAGTGAAGCTGAAAGGAAGTAATAGGAATTCAAGTCAGCAAAGACCAAATAAAGACAAGGCTAGTCGAAAAACTTGCTACTATTGCAATGAGGAGGGTCATTTTCGCAGGAATTGCCCGAAGTTGAAAAATCAGGCAACCACTGACAATGGAGCAGATAAGCCAGTGGCGAAGCGAGTTAGAACTCGGAGAAGACGGAAACAGACTGAACAGAAGGCTAATATAGGAGTCTCATCAGCTGTTCATGAAGCTGGCATGTATATTAAGACTGACATACATGGTGCCAAGGCAAAGTTGTTGGTCGATACAGGGGCAACCATAACTTTGATTTCTGAAGATCTGTATAACCACATTTCTCCGGCGGCTAGACCCGAGTTAAAGCAGATAAGTAAAGAGGTCTTGACAGCAAGTGGAGACAAATTACCAATCCTCGGACAAGGGAGGTTTAACATCAGATTGGAGGACGACACAAACCTACTGGTAGAAGCGGTTGTTGCGAAACTCACCACAGATGGCATTCTAGGTCTTGATGTTATGATAGAGAGAAATGTAACTCTGGATATGGCCAAGGGTTGTCTTACCTTAGATGGAGTGCATGTTGAGGCTAAATATGAGGGAACTATGGGTTGTTTCCGAGTGTGTACAACTGAGAAGATTGTAGTACCAGCAAAATCAGAGGTCATAGTCTCTGGAAAGGTGTGTGTGCCTGATGGTAAGGCCATGCAGGGGAACGCCTTACTAGTGGAAGGATTTGAATCTTTTTTGAAGAGCGACCGTGCTATCATTGGTCGTTCACTGGTGGACAATACAGCTACAGTGCCTGTACGCATGATGAATACCTCAGAGGAAGATAAGTTGATCTATCCTGGCACTTCCATAGCACAAGTTAGTGCAATTCAGAGTGTAGTAGAGGAAATAGAAGGAAAACAGCCTCACAAAAATAACAGCTTAAGAGAGGACCTGGCTAAACTACTAGAAGCATCGAAAACAAACCTCACCGGCCAACAATACGAGGAGCTGAGACATCTTGTGCAAAAGTATGAAGGATTGTTTGCTGCATCAGATGAGGACTTGGGGCGAACAGATGTCGTGAAGCATAAGATCAATACTGGAGATGCTCGTCCGATAAAACAGCCTTTACGACGTATCCCAGGCAATATGGGACCAGAAGTTGACAAACAAGTGCAGAACATGCTCGACCGAGGTATTATAAAGAAATCCTCTAGTCCTTGGAGCTCAGGCATTGTTTTGGTCAAGAAAAAGGATGGGACAATGCGGTTTTGCGTAGATTACAGACGACTTAACGCTGTCAGCATTCCCGATGCATACCCTCTGCCTCGTATTGACGAGACACTAGATCAACTAGCTGGATGTTCATGGTTTTCGACACTAGACCTGAACTCTGGATACTGGCAGGTAGAGTTGGATTCGGAGGACCGTGCCAAAACCGCATTCGCCACTCGCACAGGGTTGTACGAGTTCCAAGTTATGCCCTTTGGTTTAAATTCAGCCCCAGCAACATTCGAACGATTAATGGAGACTGTACTGGCAGGACTACAGTGGCAGGTGTGCCTCATATACCTTGATGATGTCATTATTGTGGGAAGATCATTTGAGGAGATGATGGACAATCTCGAAAAAGTATTTGACCGATTGTTAGCTGCTGGGTTGAAATTGAAAGCTAGGAAGTGCCTTCTATGTGCAAAAGAGGTTCTATACCTAGGGCATGTCATTTCAGAGTCAGGTGTTTCAACAGATCCTGCGAAAACAAGAACGGTGGAGCAATGGCCTGTTCCTGTCAATGTGCGAGAGGTGCGCTCTTTTCTTGGATTCTGTAGCTATTATCGAAGGTTTATTAAGGATTTTGCTAAAATTGCCAAGTGCCTTCACAAACTCACAGAAAAAGGACGAACATTTGAGTGGAGTTCCTCTTGCCAGGAAGCATTTGAGACTCTTAAGAGGTTGTTGGTAAAAGCACCTGTCCTTGCGCATCCAGACTTTACCAAGGAGTTTATACTAGATACCGATGCGAGCAATGACGCTATCGGTGCAGTGCTGTCTCAGATAGTGGATGATGTTGAGAGGCCAGTAGCATTCGCCAGTCGGACTCTTACTAAAGCAGAGCGAGGGTATTGCGTGACCAGAAAGGAACTGTTGGCAGTTGTATACTTCACCAAGTACCTGCGCCATTACCTGTATGGAAGAAGGTTCACAGTACGGACAGACCATAGTTCGCTTCGTTGGCTGCTGAACTTCAAAGATCCCGAAGGACAGATGGCTAGGTGGCTACAAGTGCTGAGCTCATATGACATGACCATCGTCCATCGACCTGGAGTCAAACATCAGAATGCTGATAGTCTCAGCCGGTTACCCTGCAGGCAATGTGGGTTCGAACCACAATGGGAAACCAAGATT